CTCTGTAGATACATTGATTACTAAAACCGACAAATTGTAAAGTTGTTATTTTTCTTGGTTGGTATGACTAGGAACTGTACTCTCATTCCATCGAGGAACTTTGCTGTTGTGGCGCAATGATATTATGCTGTGCCTGAAAATAGTCCTCAGCTACAGTCAAGCCTAAAATTCAATAGTATCTGGATGCAGCCCTTTATGATGCAAGCTGAGACTGCATCACTCAGCGATGCAATGTCAGACACAATACACTCAAATGGAGCTAGTGACGTCACTGTGATGGGTATGGTTAGGGGTGGGGCTAGATGAGCCCATTAAAATCATTGGATGCAGCTCAGATTGCACTGCACCAGGTCTGCAGCCAGACCCCTCTCCTAAAATTACTAATACCCTAGGGGCAACTTTTAATTATTCGTCAGTCTTAATACAAAATGTAACTACAGAAGAGTAAATCTTTAAATAGGAAAACTATTAAAACTTTTTTTTTTTTTTCCAAGAAAGATGCTAATGGTCTAATCCAATTCAATGATTTATGCTAAGCTAAGTTAAAAGTGCTTCCGCCAGACATGGAGATTGACTGAATGGATTGAAAAATGGTAAAACTTTACTGTTTCGCTCTGGGGTACTTGTAAAATAAGCATGTGGCGTGTTCCTTTAATGTCTAAGCCTGTTTTGAATGGGATCCTCACAATCAAACACACACAATGAAGACATTTTGCTTGGGGAGTGAACAGAACATAGATTAAAACTTGGTTACGTAAATAATGAGAGACATGTAAGCGATAAAAGGCCGATTGGGGAATTTGATGATGCAAAACAGAGCAGCGTGACCTTCCATGAGCATATGAGTTTAAAACCATTCATACAGTTATGAAAATCTCATGCATCCTGAATCAGACAAACTTCACCTGGTGACCAATTACTTGTTCTGGATTTCTCTTAATTCATTACGACTTAACTGGAACTGATGAGCCATACAGGGAAGAGGAATTAAGGGAAATAAAAGGAATGTCATTGATATTCCATCTACAACTATGGTAGATCAGTCAACTTTTGCATCTGTACTGTCTTTGTCCTGCACTGGTAGTACAGATGGCGTGAAGCTGTCTGCCATGAACACATGGGAACCAGAGTATGACTGAGATGAGAAGAACAGACAAAGATATAAAAAATGCAGGAAAAGAGGGATAAAAGACTCAAAGCAAAGTAATCCAGTGTGAGGAATGTAATGATACTGAAATGGGGATAAAAACAGATCTAAAGGAGTAAAACTGCTGTTAAAGTCAAGTCTTTAAGCACCGAACAGGGAGTTGATACTGTGTTAACGGAGGAAATACAATCCACACTATAAAAAATTTAATAATAAACCTGTATCATAGGCAAAGCTAAACTATGTCTGACAGCGAACCATTTACTTTAGTATGAGTAATGCTTAACAATATGAAAAGAGTAGTTGTGTCTTCTATATTGTTATTTAACTCCACGGTACGCTACCTAACAAAAGTCTTATCGTCGATCGCAGTTGTAAGTGCAACGAATAATAACTTGACTTCTAGTTGATCTTTTGGAAAAGGGGATTTTTCTGATGAATCATCTGTTGAACTGCATCCCAATCATCACACATACTGCAGAAGACCTACGAACCAAAATTCTCATAAAAATCAGTCAAGTTTGGTGAAGGAAAAATCATGGTTTGGGGTTACATTCAGTATGAGAGTGTGCGAGAGATCTGCTGAGTGGATGACAACATCAACAGCCTGAGGTATCAAGACATTTGTGCTGCCCATTACATTACAAACCACAGGAGAGGGCAAATTCTTCAGCAAGATAGGGCTCCTTCTACTTCAGCCTCCACAGTTCCTGAAAGTAAAAAAGGTGCCCCAGGATTGGCCAGGCCAGTCACAAGACATGAACATTTTTGAGCATGTCTGGAGTTAGATGGAGGAGGTGTTGAAGATGAATCTAAAGAATCTTGATGAACTCTGGGAGTCCTGCAAGAACACTTTCTTTGCCATTCCAGATGACTTTATTAATAAGTGATTTGAGTCATTGCAGAGATGTATGGAATGGATGCAGTCCTCCAAAATCATGGGAGTCATACACAAATTAATTCTTTTGTCACTGCACCATGACTTTATATACTGTAAATATACTTTATATACTGTACATTATTTCTGTTAAGTGACAAGACTTTTGTCTGAGCTCAGTCAGACCTTACTGTCCTAAATAAATAATTAAAAATTAAGGCATGATCATATTTTATTTTGGTAAAATAAGTGTAATCTAGAGGCCCTTACCTTTCATATAAGCCACTTCTGATCTCAAATGACCTACTAGAAGTCAAGTTATCATTTGTTGTTCCTAAAACTTGAATAGGCAACAGGACTTTTGTAAAGTAGTGTACTTACATTGCTCTTTGTGTATATTTATTAGCAAAATGAGCCAGGAAAAATGCCTGCAGCTGTTGAAAAACAGTTGATGCTATAAGGAAAATTCCTCAGACTTTGCAACAAGCAAAAAAAAAAATATGTATAAACATTTTCTGTTTTAAGTATGTCACAAAAACAAGTTTGAATAATTAAACGCTTTCACATTCCCATAAAGGTATTGCATTTGTTCATTAAATTATTGCACATTTACATGAAATACATTTGCAATGGAAAAATATGAGTTACGATTCAAATACAAATGTATTGCAATTTTATCCATTTTTGAGTGTGTGGATGTTAAAGGTAAATATAAAGCATATTGTTTAGGGGTGTATGTTAGCTTTAACAGAATGCACATTTATTTATTTATTTATTTTTTGTTTAAATGTTATTTTACTATAATTTATAACTCAAGATGTGTAAAAGATGAGAGTGTTATGCTCAAACATCATTCTCATATTTAAAAATAGAAAATCATTAGAAAATCAGTGCATACGCTGCATTCTGTGTGAACTTGAAGGTTTATGCACCCAAAATAAAGTCTGTCATTAATTACACGTCCTCATGTTGTTCCAAACCCCCGAGACCTTCGTTCATTTCCGAAACATAAATTAAGATAATTTAGTTGCAATCTGAGCTCTCTGACCCTTCATAGACAGCAATGTTCTTGAGATATTCAAGGCCCAGAAAACGAACCAAAAAAATTCAAAACATTTCATGAGCCTTCAGCGGTTCAACAGTAAACGTGAAGCTCCAAGAGCACTTTTGTATGTATACAGAAACTGGCCTTTACTTTACTACTTTATATTAGGGTTTGTATTTATTACAGGCGGTGACTCAGTGGCCAAGTAGGTAGTGCTGTTGCCTCACAGCAAGAAAGTCGCTGGTCGAGCCTTGACTGGGTCAGTTGGCGTTTCTGTGTGGAGTTTGCATGTTCTCCCCGTGTTCGTGTGGTTTTTCTCCGGTTTCCCCCACAGTCTAAAGATATGCGGTTCAGGTGAATAGGGTAGGCTAAATTGTCCGTAGTAGTGTATGAGTGTGTGTGGATGTTTCCCAAAGATGTGCTGCGGCTGGAAGGGCGTCCGCTGCGTAAAAACGTGCTGGATAAATTGGCAGTTCAACCCATTGTAGTAACCCTAGATTTATAAAGGGACTAAGCCGAAATAAATATATATAAATACATATATATATATAAATATATAAAAATATATATTATATATAATATATATACATATACAT